ACCATTAGGAATTACTTCTAAGTCCCAAACATCGTTGGTATTGATCAAATTCATTTCAGCTTCCATAGCTTCTTGCCATTTAAACGAATAAACGCTTCTCATGGCTTCTTCAAATGAGGTGGGATCACCCTCCATTTGAATTTCTTTACTAACATAAACTTCATAGTCATCAGAAAACTAGTTTACTAATTCTTTGAGACCTTATGGGGCCTCAGCTACTGGCACTTTCATATGAGGCTGTTGTTGCTCTTCATTGCCAAGAGACAATTGATTCTATAGGCTCCTGTATAACAAGATCCTCATTATTCATCTTCTTCAAAGAGCTAACAACAGGTGTTGTATTGGTCATACAACATCAACGGGTATTGAGAAACTTGTTGCTCCTGAGTGACTGGAGTGGGCACACAGTTCCTCTTCTCTTGAAGTCTTAGGTCTCTACATACCTCTATATACCATGCTCCCCCAGATCTTCCCATCTTTTCTAAAGATAGTGTATCTTCAAATATCTTATTTTAGGTTTAATTCATTAAACTCTCATATGGCGCTTTAAGCATTAACATCTTTCACGCTGACTACGCTATCTTCCTGTCGGAACTTTAAAAGGTCCAGGAATTTAGCTATTTCTCTGCTTAGGGGTATCATTATTATGACCGTTGTACTCCTCCGATGGTCGCATACATTTTAATTAATCTTTATCTCACTCTTAATGAAGAGCGTCTTTCTTAATTAAACTTTATATTCTCCCCCTCGAAATATGGCATGAACTTTACTGCCATAATTTTGATAACTATTCAGAAAGCCTATAAACAAGAAGACACTTTTAACTTACTTCATTTACATGATTGTGTCATGTAAACAAAGTTATTTCTTGATCCCTTTAGGAGTACACTTTTCTTAATTCACTTTAAGAACTCAACGACAACGAGGTCTTTCATTAGTAGTGCTTTTGCAAGTCACGCTTGCATCTTTTCTTATCTTTTAGTTAGTATTGACCATGACGATGCATTTCTATTGTGCCAAGGTCAATACTAGGACAGCATATAAGAGCTATCCAAACTTCTCTCGCTACGCGGGATACAAAAACATGTGATTCATTAGAAAACATCTCCTGCCATGCAGGATTGACTAGTATAAGTACTATGCCAAAACTTCTCCCCATGCGGGATACATCTATACGAAAACTTAGTCATGGCGACTAAAACTTCACTTATACTTAATTTTCCAATTAAATCTCCCGTTGGTTCCAAGTTAATCAGAAAATTAGTAAACTAACAAAAAAGCTGTCCTAAACTAGCTTGACTCAAGCCATTCCATTCACATACCCCAGCGTTGCAGCCCGTTGGCATGCAGCCAAGTGATCTCGTCGGTTAATATAAACATACAATATGCTTCTGTATCAATTCTACATCATCGTTGGGCAGAAAATAGAATTAATGTATGAAACTCAGAAATTAATTTGACATCCATATATCTACTCTTCAAAATTAAATTCTCCCGTTGGTTTGAATTTAATTGGAAGATAATCAACATCATTGAGGCGAAAACTTAATGCAATACATTCTTTTAGTTCAGAAGCATTTCTCGGCCCTTATCTACTCTCTAAAAAATCGACCATGTTGATATAAAATTTATTAGAGATTTAAACCTCAAACTTAAACTCATTATAATATTGTTATCATCAACGTTGGTCAGAAAATAACAATACCATAATTTAACATAAACAAAATGGACTACTCCTCTAATTAAATTTTCCCATTGGTTCCAATTTAATTAGAGGATCAACATAATCATAATTTACTAAATATTACTGCTCTTCAAATTAAATTCTCCTATTGGTTCGAATTTAATTGGAAGATAATAAACATTAAACTTTGCAGCGGAACCATTATCTACTTTTCAAAAGCATTTTACTTTACTCATCTACTCTCTGAAAAAATTATCCTGTTCGGTTCAAATTTTGACAGAGATTTAACATCAAAACTTGATTAAAATTCTTCAAAACTGCTTCTGAAAATTAATAAAACTGAAACAGTTTCTTCTGGTCATTTTGGCCCAATCGAGAAAATTTGGCCCACGGCCCATTTCTTCTGTGCGCCCGCGCGCGCGGCCCAGTGCACTGCCACGCTCACAAACTGCATCGGCTCGGCCCGCTCAGCTCGGTGGCCTAGCAGCCGCTCAGCCCGCCTGGGCCTTCAGCCCAGCAGCCGACGGATGGGCCACCAATTCGGCCCGTCGCGCCGCTTGTCCCTCCCCCCGCCTTGATCCCATCCGTCCATCTAGATTGGATGGTGGAGCACGTGGGTCAGGAGAGATATAAGTCGTCGACCGGTTTGGGCTCCCCTAACCCTAAACCTAACTTTCCCGGCCGACCGGAGCGCGCGCCGCTGGCGGCTGTCACGCCGGCGCCGCTCTGTCCGTCCATCGGCCCATGGTCGATGACCTCGGGAAATCTTTCTCCTTTCCCTTCTCCCTCGCACGCCGTGTCCTCTCTCTCGCGCTGCACAGGCATCAGCGGCGGCGGCCATGGTGGCCGTCGGCGTTGGTGAGCAAGGCAGCCACCGGAGCAAGTCTGGCTCCCCTTCCTCCTCTTCCTTTCTCTTCCCTTTCCCCTTCTCTTCCTCAGCGCCGCAGCCAAAAACGACCACGACGCGACGGCAGCCCGTGGTGGCCCGAGAAAAGGAAGACGGCGGCACGGCTGTGGGGCCCCTCGCCGGCGCGCACACTCACCCTAGGTAGAGTGTGCTGCCGTCGAGCGGCCTTGCGGTTGCGCATTGACCCCTAAGCCCGAGGCTTAGGCCGCGCGGTGGCGTGACCTCACGGCCGTCGGCTTGGGTGGTTCTTCCTGCTCGACATCGGAGCAACGCCGGTGGTGGTGACAGCGACAGGTGAGCCCCAGGTAGGCCCCTATCCTGTCCGTCCTTGCTTCTCTCTCTAGGGTTAGGTCTTAGGGTTCGGCCAAACCCCAACACACGATCTACACACTAGATGGCCTGGCTCTGGTACCATTGATAGGATCATAGTACCTCTGAATCGTAGATCAGGGGATAAACTAGACTTAGATGGGGAAGCAGGGTCATGTACCTCGCCTTAAGGCAGTTGCGGCCATAGCGCCGCTGTGACGTGATCGCCGGACGTGACCGCCGGTGGCGAGGCGTCGCTGTCGAACGCCATGCGGTGGAGATGCGGTCCAGTGGCGACGCGGAGGCAGTGGTCTTCCCATCGCTGGCAGCACCGTCTCTCTTGATCGGATAGCGTTAGGGTTTCTCTGTAGGAGGGTTGCGGTGGCTCAGGTCAACCTCTTACCTGGTGCCCCGGCCCCAACTTTCCTTTTATGGTGCTGTGCGACGGCGTCCACCAACCATGGGGTGGTTGGACGCCCCCCATCAGGGCGTTGATCCAAGGGCCCAATTGGCCATGGTGGAGATCAAACTAACAGAGGCCAGCTCTCAGTGTTGAACCATCTATTCAAGTTCACAAGCTGAAACCAAATGATCTACTTCTGACATTTGCTTCAGACTATCTTTGGGAGCATTTATTGTTTCTTTCCAGTCGAATCCTATTCTTAATTAGCATTGATCCCATTCATGGGAGCAGGGTTAATTTAAGAAATCCTATTTTTCCATCTCCTTGCATTTGGAGGTTACAATCATAAAAAATTGTACTATATGTGGCACCATTGTTTTTGCAATATATAGGCTTACAGTTGAAGGATGATACCGCCAAGGACGACACTTTAACGTTAGTATTTATTTTCACAGTATTGTTATCTTATCGTACGATCCGTGTGTTTTTAATACAAAAGTTTAGTTATCCCATAGCAACGCACGGGCACAAACCTAGTCTGTAATAATAAGTATATCCTCCCTCAATGCATGCATGCGCCACCGCCAGTTCAGTTTGTTGGAGACGAATTACACTGCATGCAGCCGGTTCCGATGGAGCATGATAGACAGGCGGCATCTTCTGTTGTTCAACCTACCTTTTTACCTTCCCAAATTGCCCCTCATATCCTATGGATTCAAAAACCATGTTCATACGAACGTCTAATTGATCATACAGAGTCTGATTGCAAGACGTCTTGGGCCCATGCAACACGCGTGCATTTTTGCTAGTTAAAGCAAAAGGTTGAAAGCCAAAAGCAGGGTTCAAGATGCCGTAGAAAATGTACTATGCAAAAAGAATTGCTATATATGGGAAACCTATATGTCATAAGAATTTGTTACAAATTAATCAAAGAGAACTCAGCTATGCACCCTTTTAAGAGAATCTTTTCTTTTTTTACGTGCAACATATATTAGTCCTTATATTAACTAAAACTTAGCGGCCGGAAACGTAGAACATGATCATATTCCTAGTTCGTGGAATGCCATTTCGGAAACACTTACATTACCATGTTATAAAACATCACCCTATTCCCGTCTCCGTTCTTCCCTTGTAGGAACATTGCTGCTAATAAGAACTAAAACATCTTCTTAATCGATAACCAGTGAAGTATACTACAAGACAACTTCATATGTGTTACGCTATCTCTCTTGTCGTCGGCATCTTTTTTTTTTGGTTACCTCCTATGTTTCTGTTCCATCGATCGCTGCTAATTAATTTCTTGTGATGTTCTGTGCATTCACTGATAATGCATCATTGTGCACGGCACAAAAATTAGCTCAGGTGACACATTCCGGCGCACGAGGCCGCTGATTTGGCAGAGCTCGGCGCCATGTGGCCGGTGCCTACCTTTGGCGTCTTGGACTTGGAGTGTGGCGCCGGGAAAAAAAATTCGGTGAATACGGAATCCATGCAGACTCCATGCATACTGTCGCTGGATGAAGACACCTGGATAGCAAGGATGTCCGCCAGGGTGATCGACGTGGTGTTTTTTTTAAACGAACCGGCATGAGAGCTGCCCGCTATATTAAAAAGAAGGAACGTCCAGACGGACACTGTACAAACTCAGTCAACTTGACTCCGTACACAACTAGAAAATAAAAAAACACAATTAAAAACTAGGAGAGAAGTTGTTGTGGAAGAAGGAAAGTAGAGAGGTGCTTTGCTCCCGCCAAGATCCACAGTCTCGCCTCGCCTTTGATTCTCTGAAGAACCATAAAATTGGTGGATTCTGTGTGCTCAAAAACTCTCGAATTCCTCTCCTTCCAAACTTCCCAACAAACTAGTATAATGAGCGAACGTAGGCCTTTCCTCCTCGTACTCGGCGCATTTGACATCGCCGTCCACCACTTCTCAAGTGTCTCGCTATGTGGCCATGCACTCGGGTGTAGGTTGGAGTTTTGTGCCCAGGTGGCAATTTCCTTCCAGAGGCGCTTCGTGAATCTGCAGTCCCTGAAAAGATGCGGGCCTGTTTCCGCATGAAGCCGGCATAGTGTGCAGGTTCCTTGGTTTGGCCACCTCCGAGCTTCCAATCTATCAGTGGTCCAAACTCGGTTTTGAATCGCAAGCCAACTAAAGAATTTGCATTTAGGCGGTGCCCAAGGTTTCCAAATGAGTGCCTCAAAGTTGTTTTTGGTTGCACCAATAAACTGGGCATGGTAAGCAGAGGATGTTGTGTATTCACCATTTTCCTCAAATTTCCAGGAAAAGTTATCTGGCGTGCCCGTTCTTAGAATTATGCGCCTAGTTGCTTGCCATAGATGTGTGTATTCAGCTAAGTGCTGGGCAGAGAAACTATGATGCTGAAGGTTGATGTCGCGAATCCAATTATTATCAAGGAGTGCCTGTTGCAGAGTTCTATTTTTCCTTCTGGAGATGGCAAAGAGGTGCGGCGCTACGTCGCATGGCCGCTGGCCGTCTAGCCATGCACTCGTCCAGAACAATGCTCTTTTTCCGTCTCCTATTGTTAATGTTGTGGATGCCGCAAAAAGGAGCTGATCGGTCGTGTTACATGGGGTTTCATCCCCAAGAGTACCATCAGAACTTGCTGACCATTGTCGCCATAGCCATCTCAACCTTAATGCCCTTGCAAACTTCCCTAGATGGAGGATGCCCAAGCCTCCAGAATATTTGGGTCTAGCTGACCTCGGCCAATTGACCTTGCATTTTCCTCCTGTTAGCGTCTCAGCGCCTGCCCACAGGAACCTCTTCCTCTGCCGATCGATGTCCTTGATTGTCTCTTTTGGTGCACGGAGGGATGTGAGGAAGTAGACTGCTTGTGAAGTAAGGACCGCTTTAACCAGAGTGGAGCGACCTACTGGGTTAATTTGGCGCCCATTCCAAGCAGTGAGCTTGCTGACCGTTTTGTCTACCAGAGGCTAGAAGTCCACACGCCTTAGGCGCTGATGCGTTAACGGTAGGCCTAGGTATTTGTTTGGGAAGCATGAAATTTCCGTTGGAGAGCCAGCAAGGATTTCATTTAGATTTAATCCTTCACACTGTATAGGGATGATTTTGGATTTCTGAAAGTTGGTTTTTAGTCCTGAAGCCTCGCCAAACAAAGTTAGGAGCTCGGCCATAGCTAAGATGTCTTCCCTTGTTGGCTTGACAAAAATGGCCGTGTCGTCAGCATACATTGAAGCTCTAATTTGAGTTGTTCTTCCCCTCAGCCTGGACAAATGTCCTTTTTCGGTTGCTAGATCAAGCAGTTTTTGCAGTGGATCCATTGCTATGACAAACAATAGAGGTGACAACGGATCGCCTTGACGAAGCCCTCTGCCATGTTTGATAGGCGCGTTTGGGATGCCATTCAATAGAAACCTCGTCGAAGAGGTGAATAGAAGTGCAGCGATCCAGTCTTGCCATCGACTAGGAAATCCAAGCTTATTCAACAGAGTGAGGAGATATTCCCATCTGACTGAATCAAATGCTTTGGCGATGTCCAGCTTGAGGAATATTGTTGGCAGCGTAGAATTGTGGTAGCGTCTTATTGCATTGCGGACGGCCATGTAGTTGTCATGGATGCTTCGTATTTTGATGAAAGCACTTTGCGTTGGGGAGACAATGGAACTCATATGGGGCGCTAGCCGTAATGCAAGTACCTTGGCGATTATTTTGGCAAAGGAATGAATCAGGCTGATAGGTCGGAAGTCTGTAATAGCTTCAGCACCATCCTTTTTGGGAATCAAAACCACGTTGGCTGAGTTGAGGAGTGCAAGACTGTTTGTCCGTAGTGAATGGAAGGCATTCGCCGCATTGACGATATCAACCTTGACGATGTCCCAGCATGATCAAAAGAAGGCACCAGTGTATCCATCTGGCCCCGGTGCTTTGTCAAACGGCATTTGGTGGATAGCATGTTTTATCTCCTCTTCAGTAAATGTTGCGTCCAGTCCACTAAGATCATGGGATGGCAGGTTCAGCTCATCCCAGTTGATGTCGTGCTGCCGTGCTGGAGGGTGTCCCATGAAGTTTGAGAAATGGTCCTGTATTACAGAAGCTTTGTCATCATGGTTTATTGCCCAGCCATGGCCGTGTCGCAATCTTTGGATGTGGTTTTTCCTTCTCCTCGCATTTACTTTACGGTGAAAATATTTTGTGTTAGCATCGCCCAGCTTGATGGACGACAGTCTCGAGGCTTGTTTACATCTAGCTCTTTCGATCACTGCTAGCCCCAAAATTCTTTTCTTGAGCTTAGCCCGTAGAAGCAGCTCAGCGGCCGTGAGACTTCTATTTTCTTGGGCGATATCGAGCCTTAGGATAATCTCTTGCGCCATGAAGAAAAGTTTTTTGGCGTCAGAGTTGATTTCCTTGCTCCAGCTTTCAGTTTTTGCGAAGTAGAATGCAGTTTGTAGCACAGGACATGAAACGGCTCATGGTGGTTGCTGAAGGTAGCGTCCCATTCTGCGTTACAGAAAAAGCGGTCGAGTCTTGACATTGTGGGTCGTTGCCTCTCGTTGCTCCAAGTGAATTTCCTGTTCTGAAGGCTAATTTCAGACAGATCACACTCATCTAGTGCCTCACGGAAGTGGCGCATTAGGCGTGGGCTTAGGTTCCTGTTGTTTTTGTCTGCAGCTCTATAGATGAGGTTGAAATCGCCCGTGATGAGCCACCGCATGCTTGGTGCTGGCTTTAGCGCTTTTAATTCATCAAGAAAGCGTAGCTTGTCCGCACGACGACACGATGGTCCGTACACCACTGTAAGTAGGAAGCTGGCGTCCGAGTCTTTTAGCTGAACGTTCGCCGCGACGTGGAATTCTCCGATGGTGATGTCAGTGCAGCTTACACGACATTCGTTCCATAGTATGAATCCAGGGTAATATAATGTGCTTTTTTTGCGACTGGTAATATAATGTGCTTGTGCCGTCCCAATTAGACGAACGTGATTAGCCCAGGGCCTAGAGCTGTGCGGCATCTTCTTCTGCATGACTGCATCTGCATGCATGCGCGCGACTCCAGTTTGTTGGAGCCGGCGAGAAATCTGTAGCCGTGGGCGTGACTGCTCCTCTTGTTGGTAAACAAAAACAAAGCATATATATTCTCCCGCAATGCATGCACACGTTGGTGTATACGCCACGCACCATGCCAGTTTGTTGGCGTTTATTCCGCAGCAGGAATACGTAACACGTACACACGCACAGCCGCAATCTAACTCTCCCCAGCCGCCCAGCCCATAAACCAATCCCGCACAGCCACACGCACAAATTAAACCCTGCTAGCGCCCACATCGCCGGCGGCGTGGCACATCGTCAGGCTCCACGGGCGGCGGCGACGATGGAGACGGCGGCAGAGCTCGTCAGCGAGAAGGCCAAAAGAGCCAAGGAGGAGCCGGAAGTCATCAGCAAGCCTCTTTCGGCTGCATTCTTCGAGCATTGCTTCGTAGGCTCATTGATCCTCTTCTCTCTCTCGTCGCCTAGTTGTCTGATCGAGCGTTTTTTCAATCGCGGCATGCCGCATGCGTCGTGCTTATAGCTAGCGTCGCCTCACGGGAAAAAGCTAATTAAGGGTCCGTTCGATTTCTTACGATTGGACCTAGTTCCAGCTTACAAGAATATACAGATTAGTGAACCATTCTAATGGGTAATTAATTGTTCAAAGATCTCATTCCTGAGAAAAACTGAATGAGCTCTAAGGGAGGACAGAGAGAGCGAAAGAGAAGAGAAGAGGGTGGAATCCGATGGCGGCGGCGGCGGCGGCGGCGGCCCTATGCATGACCTCTTTCTTCTCCGAATCTCCGTACGTGATTCACGAGTCCTCCACCAAGTCTATTTTTTCTTCCTGCGTCTCCCTCCCCCTCGGTCCCTTCCCCCATCCTTCCTCGGCTGTGCTCCTCTCTCTTCTTGTGAGGCCATGTGTTTGATTATTTTATTGATTTGGATATATATGCTCTGTTGCTTGACTGCTTGTGTATTGCCATCTTAAGGCCACGTGTTCGCAATGCGCACTGCTACACTGCCAAACCAATGCCCCCTATATATGTCACGTAGCCACCGTACATCTATCTCTTATATTATGTTACAAAACTAACTCGCTTGTTACGTCAAGGTTCTAAAAATATTTTTGGGGCAATCTTCACACAATAATGCAATGCACCATTGATTTTTTTTTTTTGGGGGGGTCAATTTTCAAATCAATATTTATCTCCAAAGTGGATACACCTCAAGTTTTTTTTCACGTTCGAGTATATTCACGTTACCATGTACCACGACTCGTCAATAAATGTCAACTGAACAGATCACCTCATGTTGACCATCCCACCGCACCGCACCTCACACATCAACTTAATCATGTTGATCACAATTAGACCTCCAAGTTAGATCTAATAGGATATGCAAGTCAGATCTAATAAGGAAGATTTACCCTGTTGGGATTTAGAAGATATTTTTCCTATTTAAAAAATAATTAAAAAAATATACATAAATAAATTGGCGGTTCACTCTGGTTGGAATTTTCCTGCAAAAACAGAATTTGTGTTTCAGGAACACAAGAGACGTCCAGATTAAGTAGAACGATTGATTATTGAAGACATTTTAATTGTCGGCAATAATTAATGGGCAACAATTTTTTACCTGTATGGGCTACACATGTCATTTTTTTTACTGAGAAACAGTGATCAGATTATCAAATCCAAAGCAGTGCAAATTAGTAATATAACACTAGATATTTAGCAGGTTCTATGTGAATGGCAAATTGCATATCTGAATTACATTGTGTCATAATAAACTAGACTCAACAGCAAGTCAGGAACTATATGTAATGCAAATAAAGAACATAGCTATAAACTAGAATAATTAGGATTGAAAACAGACTTTGGGCAAAAAATGTAAATGAATACGTACATGCATAAAAAGTACGTAAACAACATGTAAGGCTTATTTCTACTCTGCTGTTATTTCCACTAATTAACTAAACAAGTACAAGGCTGCAAGCATATAATGAAAGAACAACACTAGCTAGAATGCAAATTGATGACCAATATAGATGATCGAACTGTAATGCATTAACATATCTTGTCTTAATTGGAACTTATTTTTTCAGACACTTCAGTACATAGAGCTTTGCCCAATCTTCCATAAAAGTCACAAATTGATCTGTTAAAACAACATGGCTATGCATGGGTTATCATTAGTGCCCTTAACAAAATTTGTCGAGACATCAAATTAACATGCTACTCTACTGCTATCCTGCTTTCTTTCTCTACTCCCTTTCAAGTAACAAAACATGTGTGAACTATTTTGGTACGATCTTTGCAAACTCCAGAATCAGGCTCCAAATTACACGATTTAATCTCTAGCACTCTTGAATTCAAAAGTGATTGTGCAAGTACAACGTTAGTGTTTTCTGGAATCATGACATCTTTATATGGGATAAGCTGAAATTTATTAAACAAGTTGTACCATGATGCGGCAGGGAGAAGTGGAAAGCCATGTAGTCGTCGGCTATTGGAGGCCACGAAACGGACAGGAGGCATCGGGATTGCGGGAGGCAACAAGCGAGGATGCATAGGTTGGGGAGCGAGTGCCCATTATATAGCGTTGCCTCACGTCCAATCGGCAGCATGCTAGATCCAGTTGTTGCTAGAGAGATGGAGGCGGAGGGGGCGATGGGGAGCCGTAGAACAAGGGGATGGGGGTCGGTTCTGCTAAAACCATAGGATCATTAGGTGTAGATCTAGTAGGTAAAACTCACTATGACATAGAATGAACACATAGAAACAAGTGCTACTAAGAGATCCAGAGAGGGAGAGAGGAAGGGAGAGAAGTAAGCAGTTACCGACCATCGGTGGACTTGTTGGAGGAGCTCGAGTACGCCATGGCGTTGTCGGTGGTGAGATCAGCACAGTGGAGGCAGTGGCGTCCGGGGTGGTGTGAAGTGACGTCGCGGTCCGAGAGCGGTGATGAAGACAGTGGTGTGGTCCAGCGGCGACGGCGTCCTAGCAGTGGCGCTTCCCATCGCTGGCTGCGCCCCTCACTAGATTGGATTAGGGTTGTCGGTGGGTGTGGCGGCTCATGGTGAACCTCGTACTGAGAGCCGCCAGCCCCCACCTATTTTTATAGCGCAGTACGACAGGGGGCCACCAACAATGTAGGGTTGGGCGCCCCCAATCAGGGCGCGAGGTCAAGGCCCAACTCGGCCGTTGGGCTGAGCTGGAGGAGATCAACACTAACAATCTCTCCCTTGATCTCATCTTATTACTTAAGCTTAACTTACTTTATCTTTTTCCCATTCCATCATAGATCAGTGCATAGAGCATGCCTCATCGTCACGGTCAATGCCATTAGATTAACAGCTACAATGCACTTCTCTGTTTTGAAACAGATTCTCAACTAGGCCCTTATTGTCTAGGAATCATAGGATTTTCCATAAACCTATGCGGGCTAAGTGTTCTCTAAACACGTTGGGCGGTAAGTCTTTTGTAAGCGGATCCACAAGCATCTTTTCTATACTTATGTGCTCAAGACTAATTCTATGATCCCGGACTTTGTCTTTCACAGCATAATACTTTATGTCAATGTGTTTGGCAGCACCACTTGACTTATTGTTGTGAGCATAACATACTGTTGGATTATTGTCGTAGTAAAACTTGAGTGGCTTATGTATGTCGTCTACCACTTTCAACCAGGGCATAAATTTCTTCAGCCAATTCACCTGCCCCGTGGCCTCATAACACGCTACAAACTCGACATACATCTTAGACGATGTAGTGATGGTTCGCTTGGAGCTTTTCCATGATATAGCTCCTCCTGCGAGAGTAAATATGTATCATGACGTGGAGTTTCTATCATCTCCCACATAATCTGAATCTGAATACCCCTCTATGTGTAGGGAATCAGATCTTCTGTACGTTAGCATGAGGCCTTTTGTGCCTTGCAAATAACACATAACTTTCTTTACCAGTCTCTAATATTCTATTCCTGGATTATCTGATATCTGCCAAGTAACCCGGTAACAAACGCTAAGTCAGGGCGTGCACACACTTGAGCATACTATAAACTTCCGACAGTTGAAGCAACGGAGTGAGGAAGGAAGTTGTAGCGGCCATCCATGGCGACCAGAGGAGGGATGGTGGCGCCGCCGCAGGCCCCCTCACCGGAGCGCGGCTTGGCCATGGGCCGATTTCGCAATAATTCTAATTTCTGCCTAACGGAGATGTAGCATTAATGTAGAAGAATGTTGTATGTTTTAATTTTGACCAACATTAAATTAAGGCATACAATTATTATGTTAAATTTTTCTCATTTTCTCTGATGTTGTTTTCAGGACTCAACCCTATGGCGTTCATCTCGCACATTCCGCCTCTTGAGGGGGGCAACTATCGCGTATGGCAAGAGAAGTATGAATTGGCACTTGCGCTGTCCGAGAATGACCTAGCACTTACCTCTCCGTGTCCTACTGAGCCAGTGGACCCAGTGAGGGCAGAGAATGAAACTGATGCTGATTTCACTGCTCGGCAGCGAGATCATGCAGAAGTGAGAATGAAATACGATCTTGATCGTAAGAAGTGGGACATTTTGAACCACAAGTGTTTGATGGTGGCTAAGTCCACTATTTCAGATGCAATAAGGGGATCAATCCCAGATTATGATACCGCCACACTACTAGAGAACAGACTTTAGAACGATATCCCAATTTAGCATTAGTCTCGGCATTTTTTGCCCCCGGAACTAAAGGTTCCTTTAGTCCCGGTTGGTAATACCAACCGAGACTAAAGGTTCCTTTACTCCCGGTTGGAACCACCAACTGGGACTAAAAGTCCTACCAACCGGGACTAAAGGTAGACCCTTTAGTCCCGGTTAGTAACACCAACCCGGACTAAAGGACCCTTTAGTCCCGGTTGGTAACACCAACCGGGAATAAAGGTCCCCCGATGGGTTAGTTCAAAAGGAAAGCATCCTATCCATTGTTAGATGTGTTGTGTAGGTGGGG